AAGTGTTGATTATATTTTAAATGATGACAATATGGAAATGAATTGCAAATATATATTAAACAAATATTGTACAAGATTAGTGGACAAAAATTTAATGAAATGTCGCTTGAACAAATTTTACACAAAATTGTCTTTAATTGCAATTGGTGTAAAATGTATTCAAGATTTTCTTTAGACGTTTTTCATTTTAACCATGCATTTGGTTGTCTGTAAAGGGGTTGCAAGAGTTGTAAGGCGAATTCTGATTTTCTTAATAAAATTTTTCAGCGGATTTATGATTTGCAAGCCCAAATCCTTAAAAGGTCTAAAAGCATTGAACAAAGTGGAGATGTTGACTTTATTTTGAATGATAACAATATGGAAATACAAAGGGTGACTTATAAAAATCATATTGTACAAGATATGGACAAAGTATTGGACAAAAATAAATATTTGACAAAAATTTAATGAAATGTCGCTTGAACACAATTTACATAAAGCCTTTAACTGCAATTAGTGTAAAATGTGTTCAAGGTTTTCTTTTGACGTTTTTTATTTTAACAATGCATTTGGTTGTCTGTAAAGGGGTTGCAAGAATTGTAAGACGCATTCTGATTTTTTTAAGAAATAGCCCAAGAAAGTATAAATGATCACAGATGCAACAAAATACTATTTCAAATGGATGGTTATTGTTAAAAGGAAAACTTCCTATTGAATTTGTAAGGCAACCGCACTCTTCAAGTGACCTTGACAAGTAAAAAGCTACTGATTTTCGTGAGTTTCTTCTTTACTCTGGTGCGATTATTCTTAAAGGTGTGTTAAGCAGTTCTCAAATATTTTCTTAGAGCTTGATTTTCATCGTTACTATCAATGAGAATTATGCTGGATTGAAATAAAGAAAGAAGAACTTCTCTCCTTGATTATGCGCAAAGGCTTATTATTTATTTTGTTGAAAAAGCATTTAAATTTTATGGAAACAGTTTTTGTGCATGGTTTGCTGCATCTTAATGAAGATGTTAAATATTTTGATTGCTCCCTTGACAATGTTTACACTCTTTCTTTTAAAAATATCTTGGATTAATTAAAAAGATAGTAAAAAATGCTAATAATCTTATGTGTCAGATAGTGTAAAAGGTTACTGAAATAGAAAAATGCAGACCTTAAAAGGCCATTTATTTGTTGCTTCTTGTTGTGAACGCGATAGCTGCTTTTTCACAGAACAAAGCTATACTTTTCTTAAAGACAACATTATATTTTTGCCGTTTAATAAGTATTACAGTTTGCAAAAATTTACAATAAAGTTAATGGGCGGAGCAAGAAGAAGGCATTAGTTTTCCTTATCGCCGAGCATCGTGTTACAATTTATAATTTTTTACAAAGTTATTGAAGAATGTATAGTATATAAGAAAAGTTGAATTAATGTTTACAAGAATTCAAAAAATAAAATAAGAACTCGTTTAATACATAATATAATAAATAGACAAAATAAAAGTGAAAATGAGTATATATAAATTTATATACACATTCGCACACCTACACATATAAGCAAACATATACCCATATATATGAACACTTACAAACACACATTTATAAATGCATATATATACATACATACACACACGTACACATATATATATATATATATATATATATATATATATATATATATATATATATATATATATATATATATATATATATATATATATATACATATACATACACATATATATATATATTTATTTTTTTTATGTTGATTTAGGTGCCCCAAGAAGTCCTTACGATCTTATCACAGAGCACCGCGGAAGAGCATTTAATAGGAAATTCACGTCTCCTTCCCAACCGATGTCGCAAAACTTGTCCAGAGGTGGGGTTTGAACCACGGATCTTAAGTTTCTGAGGTAAGTGCGCTACCACTGCGCCACAGCTGCTCAATGTATATACTCATGTATGTGCAAGGCCGGCGCGATAGGGGTGTGTGTGTGTGTGGGGGGGGGAGGGGGTAGGTGTAACACCCCCCCCCCCCGTCAATGATTTTTAGTCGGCAAATTGGAGTCTTAGTCGGCAAATTGGACCCTTATAGACTAGTTAGTCGGCAAATGTCGACCCTTTCGATATAGGTTAGTCGGTAATCTAGACCGTCGGCAAATGTCGTGATGGCAGTCGGCAAATTTTGGAAAACGAGGACCTTTTTTTTTTTTTTTTTGTCGGCAAAATGTAACGGCACCCCCCCCCCCCCCCACGTGACACCTACTCGCGCCGGCCCTGTGTATGTGTATATTTGCACTTATTTATGTGTGTATGTGTATTTGTGTATTAGTAGTAGAAATTCACTTAGCAAAATTTTTTCTCATTTAACACTGTGTTTCATCAATAAAGACTAATCAGAAATGCTCATCAATAAAGACTCATCAGAATATATCTATATCTATATCTATATCTATATCTATGTATATATATATAATATATATATATATATATATATATATATATATATATATATATATATATATATATATATATATATATATATATACACAAATACACATACATAAATAAGTACAAATATACACATACATGATATAAAAATACAAAAAATATATATACACATATATATACACACAAAAAATAAAAAGCGAGAAAATGTGATTAGTGATAATGGTTATTGTCAATAAAATTTAACGTTTTTTTAAAATGATTACAAGGAACAGTTACCTTGTTTTTATTTATAACTGATATATCTGATCTATTTTAAAAGAAAGATTTATAATAAAATAAATCAAAATCTGTGTTTAATAAAAACTGTTTTGAATCAGTTTTGAACTGATGTAAAGAAGTTTTCTTTTTGGAAACAATGTTTGGGAATCTTTTCCACAAAAGTGGTCCGAAATTCTGAATTGAATAAGAATTCTGTTTAGAATGAGATTTTGGAATAGCAAAGTGGTTTGCAGAAAATCTTGTAGCATATTTATGGTGTATTTCTTTAAAATAAGTTTCAAAGATTTTTGGGGACAGTCCATATTTTGTTTTATACATGAATTGTAGAACAAGATGGATATTAAGTTTGAAAATATTCAAGGCACCAATTATACGTAAAAGAGGTTAAAAGAGGTTTGGAGTTGGTAGAGAATTGCTCTACCAACTCCAAATATGATTCCAACAGCATGTTTTTGTTTGCTATAAAGTTTTTTAAACGAGGTGAATATTTTTTAACTGACGTTATCAACAAGACTGATATAAACAACCTATTTGAGTTCCCTTGTTAATCCAAAATTTTAAATATAGCATGTTTTACTTTTAAATAAACACTTCTAAGAAGGCAAAAAATTCTTATAAACGTGGTAAACCTGGAAAATTTATTGAGTGTTACAGGCCCTAAATATTTCCTTGACAAACACTTTATTGAAATGTATCCTGTAACTCAATCTTTTGATATCATTTTTGGACCAAACCATAATATTAGATTTACTTCATGTTTTTTGCAGGTAAATCAATTACAATTAATTGGTGGAATGTCTTAAAAAGATAGAATACACAAAGTTATAAAGAGTTAAATTAATAATACAGTACTCAAACAGCATTCATGTAAAAAGTGGAATACCTCAAGGAACTGTTTTGGGACCCATTTTATTTTAGTTTTTATAAACGATATAGCCTCGTCTGTTGAGGGGGATTGTGGAATCAAGCTTTTTGCAGACGACGGCAAGTTGTATCAAGTGAGAAAAGACGAAAATAATATCAGCCTTGTAAATACTATAAAGAGAAATTCAGAATGGTCAAATAATTGTCAACTCAATATATCTACCAAAAATGTTTTCACCTGAGATACGGAAAGAATCTATTATCAGAACATTCATACTTATTGGATATCGACACACCTAACGAATCAATTGATTCAATCCTAGATATTGGGATATTTATTTCTTCCGATATGAAATTTTCTAAACACTGTTCTCACATTACTAGCAAAGCAAGTGCTTGTGCTTGCTTACTCTTAAAGTCTTTTATCAGTGATGATTCCCAACTTTTGATAAGAGCCTATAAAGTTTATATTCGACCAATTTTAGAGTCATGTAACCCTATGTGGAATCCGTATCTCTTAAAAAATATACGTTGGGTAGAAAAGGACTAGAAACATTTCGTAAAAATTGTCTACAAACGGTGTTGAATTCCATATAAAGATTATACTTCAAGACTTAATATCTACAATCTTGACTCTATTAAATGCTGGAGAATAAAATTTGATCTTTTAATAACTTATAAGATTATGCACAACTTAGTTAATCTGCCTTTTTCTGATTTATTTACTCTCGCTTCTACTCATTATTCAACTAGTTGTCATTCCCAAAAATTAACATCACGTAACAACTACATCAATAATATAAGGAGATTTTTTTTCAGTGACAGAGTTACTAAGATATGAAATTCTTTACCTGATTATATGGTGTAATCCTCTTCATTGTCTCTATTTAAATCGAATTTAAAAAAATACAATATTCTGAGACACTGCTTACTGTTTAAACTTGGTATTACATAAGAGTAATTCTCCAATTACCTGTATCACCTTTTTGTATTTTTATTTAAATACAAATAAATTGAAATAATAATAATAATAAATAACTCTTATCTCTTTATAATTACTTTTCAACGTTAAGAAAGTTTAACATTTTTTTATTAACTAATTTTGAAAAAAAAATCAATTGAAATACTTGAAAAAAACTAATTATAATCATGTAACAGTTATATTATCCTTTAAAGATTTAGAATGTTTTTAAAAATATTTATGGCCCCCATGAATATAAAGGGCAAAGGTGGAAAAACATGTTTTAGAAACACTAGCTCATATGGCGTTGTGAAAGGTTCAGAAAGAAATTTTTATAAGTTATGCAACACTTTTCTATTCATTATAATTTTTCAAATCTTTTTTTTTTATTTATTTATTTTTTAATCTTTTTTTATTTACAGCTTTTTCAAAAAACATTAGAAAAAAAAAATTGTTACAAAACTAGTAAAATTCTTACCTGTCGATTTGTGACCATCATAAATCTTTTTACCATAACCACTTAATGGAAGTCCTACATAAGTTTAAAAAATTATAACAAAAAAAAAAAAAAAAAAAAAAAAATTATTAAAACTAAATAAACTTTTTACAACCCAATAACCTTTATGGCATTAATCTATTTTGCGAATTCGGAGAAATTGAGAAAAAAAACTGAGAAATTTTTGAACTAAACGTCTTAACCAAGCTAAACTAAAAATTACTGCTAAAGAGCCTGTCCAGATTAATAAATTTTTGCGACATTTTTTTTTTAACTAACTTATATTTGAATTTTATGCTACTTAATTTATTGTAAATTAAAATGAACTTCAGTTAATTAATATGGAGGTATATATTAACGATGATGACTTTTTAAATTTAATATTTGCTAAAAATTTAATATTGCAAGAATCTAAGTTTATGATTTTTTTGATGTATTACATTGTAACAAAATGTGTTTTGACGTATGTCATTTTAAAATACTTAATAAACGTCTTTACAGTTCCGATAATTTCCTGCGCGCATATTTAATATTATATTATAATATTTAATATTATATTATATATATGTTTATATTTTGAAATATATATATATATATTATATAATATATATATATAATATATATATTATATAATATATATATATTTTTTTTTTTTTTTTTTTTTTTGTGGATTACAATATTGTATAAATACAATATTGTAATCCAAAAAAATTCTTATTAAATACCACTTAAAAATATAAAAATTATTACTAATTAAAATAATTTTTTGCAACCACAATATATGAATAAGTTTGTAGCATGATAAAATTATAAATTATTAGAGCATTTTTTTTATAGGCATGTAACTTTATATTTTACATGCAAATAAATAAAGTTTGTATTGAATTTATTATTTAAATCTAATGCTTATAGATTTTATAATTTATAACCATTCATATATTATAATATAAAAAGGAAAAAGACTCGATAAGTGATTCTCTACTAGTTTGATGTTATCTGTTTTTATAAGAAAATTTGAACACTATGTTTTGTAGAATATATTTTAAATTTGTTTATTTAAAGATTTTCAGAGAATACCTTTGTAAAGGAGTCAGTGAAACATTAACAGTGAAAGACAGTATGTCCTAACCACAAGCTGTTTAAGAGTTTATGTTAGAATTTTGATATAGAGGAAGTATTTAACCTCATGAATGCGTCACAAATGTTACCTTCAACACTAACTTTAAACATATGATGTATGAATAAAAACTTTGAAAATTTTAAATCAATGCTAAAAAACATAAGTTCCGAGTTTATGGTGATGTTCTTAATAGAAACATGATGCAAAAATGGAAAAAATAGTTCAAATTCCAGGTTATAAAGCAATCCACCAAACTCAAGGAGTTGGCATTAGCGGTGGTATATGAATTATTATTCACAAATCAATCCATTTTTAGAAAATAGAAATTCTCAACATTAAAAACGTGGTTTATGAATCATTAACTATTGAATTATAATATCACATTAAAAAATGTTTTAATAACCGCTCTGTAAAGACCACAATGTCTTTTTCTTGTATAGACGACCATGGAAATAAAAGCTATTTTTAAACATGGTTAGCACGGATCCTTATAATGCCTACCTAGCTGTCCTAAGAACGCCACTTATACGGACAGTTAGCGTACACATCAAGGTACCCTGTGATGCAAATTTTGAAACCATTTAATTTTGTCCGCGGAATATAATTTAATTTAAATGTTCAATTTAAGTCAAATTTTGACTTCATAAAGCGCCAATGAAAACAATTGTACAATTTAAACCACTCAATATAATTTAATAAAAATTGGTGCAAATGTAGCCAATAGTCACACCAAACTCTGGACAAAATTTCAGCCTGATTGGACGACTGGTGTAGTTTTTATTGCAGTTTTAGTTAAAGTTTTGTCAGTTTTTTGCTCCTTATACTTCAAAGCGTTACCGATTACTTTAAAATTAAACCACTATTTTTAAAATAACGGTTACATGAGTGTTCTACTATGTAATACCAACAATTTTTGTTATAATTATTTTATCGGTACATGTACAGTTTTTATTTTATAGGCCAAAATAGTGATTTTCTACTTAAAGCGTGGTTTAAATAATCTTATGCTAATAGTGTCGACACGGCCTTCAAAAGAGGGGATCAGCCCCTTAATTTCTAAAATAAAATCCAGCACTTCTAAAATAATTGCTTAAATTTCTAAAACAAAAGATCCTCGCAAAAAAAAGTAGAGAAGGACATGACCCCCTAGCCTCCCCGGCGTTGACGGCCATGTATGCTTTGCTTGAATATACCAACATTTCCAAAGGTATAAACTGCTGCCAAAAAAAGAAGCTAAAAAAATGTGCAAAACCTGGTCAAAGGACTACCTCTTAGTAAAACAACAAAAAAAGTAAATCTTCTAAAATGTTTTGTATTGACCTCCTTAAATACATTTACTTTTAAAATGAAGTGAAAACTATTTAAACCCTATTTTTTTACATTGTATTACTATCAAATATCTAATCACATTTTAAAAAATGTTTTTTTGATTTTCTCCACCAAAATATTATTAACAAATAGCTCAATGTACTTTTTTAATTCAAATACTCTATAATACTACTTTTAAAGATGGTGAAAATATTCATTGTACGTTGTAAAATATGAATTTCAGCAGCGTAATTTCTAACAACTCAAATGATGTTCTTTAAAGATACTTGTTGTTTAGATTAATTATGTAGCACAAAAATCTTTCTTTGTACTCTGGATGATTATTATTTTGCTTATACCTCGACCAATGTTGATAAAAATCTTGATGAGAAGCTTCGACAGTTTGTTCACTATAAGGCCCTAAGGGGAATCCTTTGTGACTGATGAAATCCTTGATGTGGTAAAAGACAGCGTGAACTTTGGGTGTAACGCTTGCATCAGTTATCATTAGGTAACACTTTTTGAAATTTTCATTTTTTTCAGCGAAATCCAGCTGAAGGATGTATCCAAAGCAAGCCTTGACAACTAAATTGAAGCTTTTGAATGCCTCAATTATGCACAAAATATTGGGAACTATGTTTGTATCAGCAAGTTGCTGCAGCATATCCACATTTTTAAGAAGCTTCGTGCATTCATTTCCCTTAAACTGGCCCCCGTGATACGGGGTCAGTTGAATGTGGAGGGCAGCTGGCCACTTAACAGCTTCTATCCAAGCAGTTTTAAGGATCTTGAAAAGATGGTTGACAATTCCTAAGAAGAGATGCAATTTCATCGGTGGAATGATTTCCGAAATCAGAACATTGACAGGCCCGCAAATGATTGGCTTTTGAATGACATTGTCAAACAGCTTTGTATTATTATTAATTCAAGCCTTAAGTCTTTTCAGCAATCTAACAACCCCGTCAGATTGCTGAAAAGACTCAAGGCTTGAATTAATTGAGCCCAGTGTTCGCAAGTTGCCAGATTTGGCAAGACAATTGGATTTGACGTCACACCAGGTGCAATGGTGCGTACTTAAATGAGTTTAAAGACCATAAATTGTATTTGCAACTTTCATATCACAAGCCAAAATTAGTTTAACTCCATTTGCATTATCAGTGACCAGATTTGTTCAATATTGGAGTGTATTTCTGGCAAATCTTCTGAAACCCCAACAATAATTTGTCTCTTGACTCCAGTGTCATTACCAGTCTTTTGAGTGAGAGGTTGTTGTTGGTGCGGTGAGCTGGTTTCACTCCTTAACGCAGTATCAACAATGCTTGGGCAAAACTTGAGAAAACCTTTGCCACCATCAGTTCCGAGCTTAACAAAATAACCACTAGAAATTTTGCGGGTCTGAATAACATGATTCACAAAACTTGATAAATTATTGCAGTGAGCAACAACATGAACTGTACAAGAATCTTTTTTTTCGTTTATGATTTTTAAGTCGCTGCAGGTGAAGAAATCGCTCAATTGTTGTTTTAGAAAGTCTTAGAAAATTCATGTAGAATTTTCGCTCTACCATCTTGCTGCATGATGTTTTGTTTATAGTTCTAACAAGTTTCTTAAGCCGTTGTTTGACAGGCCCGTATCTAATTCACATTTACAAGGGCTACAGTGGTCAATTTCGGAGCACTTGATAGTGTCTGCGCACTACTTTGATCTAAAACTAAAACATACATATTTTATAGTTACAATAAACTTTGTTTAGTTAGATTGTGTAAAACTTTCAAATTATTCGTTTTTAAAGCAATTAGAAACTTGTTAAAAATATACTTCTTGAAATCTATCTAGTGTTATTTCTTAATAGTCAAGAATTTATTTCAATATATATGTTAAAATTATATAAGTATAAATATTTACGAGGGGTAACTGTAAGTCGAGGTCCGCCGGGTGCTTTAGCCAGTAGAATAGTTCCTTCCGGAGATAATTCTTTATTGGAAATAACTCAAGATGCGATTTGTTCCAATGATTTGGCATTTTTTGCTGCTAAAGATTAAATGTTTTCCCTTAACATTATTTGAGAGGATTGGTGGGGAAACCTTTTTCCTAAAGGGCTAAGGCATTTGCTGCAACCTATCTTTGGTTTTTTCTCAAAAGTGGTTTGTCTATTAAAGGATTTTTTTCTTGCAGCTTTGAACGACCAATTCGGCATTTTATGGCAACAACACATCGTGCCTATTGTTTCAGGTCTCACTTGTATTGACTTGAAATCAAACAAAGGAGGGAATGCAACTTCTTTCCCTCTTTTGTTTCCTGCGCAAAGTAATTCTACACGATTCGCAGAACCCTTTTAGTACCCGAGTATCACTGATATTGATCTTGGTCATGTACAGTTGGCATATTTGATCTGCTTGAAAAGTAGTAAACTGTCTTAAACTTTTTTTCAGACAGAGCAAGCACACAAACTTTCAACTTTCATCATGATTCTTTGCTTAGTTTGGCATCGTGACAATTCACTAAGTTTGACTTCACTATATCAAACTCTGCCTTTTACAAAATTTGAACTAAATTTATCTTTGATAACAACCCACTTAACATAGAAACACATATTATTAATTAAAAA